GGGTTACGGCCACTTGCCTGCTAGACAGTTGCCCGCCGGACAGATGCCCGCAAGACACTTGCCCGTGCGATACATGCTCGCAATGGACAATGTTGAGGGTGAGGGTGCGGGCAAGCATCATACGGGCAAGTGTCTTGCGGGGATCTGTCCGGCGAGCATATGTTCTGCGGGCAAGTGGCCTAGATTCCATAAACAGTGACTTGTTCAGAATCATTCCGTGAAAACATGGTCAAGATGTAATAGAAAACTTATTTTTCAAGAACTAATAAACCCTTCTCTTCAGGACTGGATGTGCCGGATGCAAAAGAAGATTTTTCGTAACAATGAAATTTTATTTAGTAAAATATACATACAACTATGCCTAATTTTTAGGAACTTTTATAGAAGCATCAGAATCTTCTGTTGCAATCATGGGTTGACATTTAGTCGATGCTCGTATTGCTGGAATCTAGCGCATACTATAAGATTCTAACCAGGCTTTAGTAGAATCTGTTAGATTGTGTTGAATTTGAAGAGTTTTAATAAACATCAATAGACTTTAGGAGATCATGGCAAACGCTGGTGAATTCTGAAATTTTGATAGCTTATAGTAAATCTTAGTGGACTCGATCAACTGTTACAGGTTTTGTTGAACACTAATTAAATATAATGTACTTCAACAAAAGTCTATACTCCTGTCAAACTATAATAAATCTCTGAAGATTCTAGTAAACTTTGTTAGAAATTCTACTAATTAGATATGAGTGGAACCAGTCAATTTTGATTTTGGTCTTGGTTCCAATACCTATCATTAATATTTAAAACTGTGTATATTTGTCTCTAAAATTATATTATTTAAAATATTGAAATCAACGATTTTAAGTGCAAAACTATTGTCTTTTATGCTTTTATAAACAGATAAAAGAAGAATGGAAATATGTAGCATTGGTAATCGATCGTCTTTTTCTTTATATATTCACAACAGCTTGTATTGCTGGTACATGTGGAATTATTTTGCAAGGTATATATAATTATCATATCATATTTCTTTTCTTTTTTGTGTAAATTATTGATGAATCATTTTTTTGTTTTTGTTCTAGCACCATCAATTTATGACAATAGAAAACCAATCGATATTATCAAATCTAATCGTTTTTAAAATAATATTAGATTATTTTGTTTATTGTTTT